AGGTTCGGTCCGATTGGGTCAACAACACCGCCGCCGCCACCACTGAAGACACGTAACACATCACCGATAACTTCCACCAATGAGTGGTCACCACTTTCGACAATACGCTCGTCTTTCGGGACCCGTCGGACGTTAACAAACCCATCGTTGTCTTCAGTTGTCTTCGCCTCCAAGACTGTGATCACCGCAACACTAATACCGGTATTGATATCAAAGTGACAACAGATGGCGATCGCAACCACTGGAGGCACACATTCAACACAGCATTGCATTCACGAACCCATTGGACACTCCATTGCCTATGCATTGGCTGTGCGTTGAGTCCATTGGCGTCACTAATGCTATACTCGATGCCATACATGTCATCCCTATCTGTCAATAACTGCTCTTTTATAATATGAACTCAAAACTAATTTGATTGACAATTAAAACATGATTTAAAATAATTAGTCAATAGAAATGCATTGAATAGTGAATTGAAACGCGTTTATAGACTTTAGTTACAAATACTGATATTTGAACAACAATTCAAAGTATTGCTGTTGTAAACAGTAATGCATTGCATGGAGAGTACAGTGCAGTAGAAATAATTGTTGACTAAATAGTAGGCAAACGAATGGCAATAAAGCTATAAAATATTGAAATGAGGTGTGAATTGCATACCTGTTATGGCCTTAAGTTTGATTATAAGTTGAATATAATATGACTTTTAATAACAAAATGTAATGTTTTTGCAGTCAAATCAATGAATCACTCATTCATTAACATTACAACTAAAATCAATTTGATTTACAAATCACTTGCCATTCATTCATATTTACATTAATTCATGATTTTGTAGTGAATTATGAAATATATATTAAACTTATTTTGTATACAAAATTGTTATAAAATTTGATAAACAAATGAATTGTTGTGTAAAAAGTGTTTTTCAAATGAATTTAGTGTTTGAAATGAAATCTATTTTTAATCACAATTAATAAATATTACAATAGTTTTGGTTATAATTTGCAAAACCAGTTAATTTGAATGTAATGTCGACCAGAAATAGCGATAAAAGTAGTAATAATCCAAATCTGATTGAAATTAAATCAAAGGTAAGTCTGAATGAGTGCTTGTATTGAATGATGTGATGATAATTGATGTGAATGTTGTCTTTCTTGTGGATCAGTTCGACGCCGAGTTCCGCCGCTTTTCGTTAGACAGAAGCGAATTATCCAAATTTGATGACTTCTTCAAACTCATTGAACACTTCCACAAACTCTTCTCCATCTCATTCTCGGTCTTCTATTCGGATCCAATTCACGGAGACTTACTTCCCATCAATAATGACGACAACTTCTTAAGAGCCATACTTTCGGCCAAACCATTGCTCAGACTTATTATACAACGAAAGGGTAAGTCTTATAATACACACCAATATATTGATGATAACATTGACTAAAACATTGGATCCGTTGATGACAGGCGAGAGTTGGGAACATTTGAATGGTTTGGCCGCCAATAAGAAGAAGAATTTCTTGGGTTTAAGTAATATTCTTCCGCTTCCGTCGTCTTCGTCTCCAAATAAGAATAAGCTATCAATTGGTTTACCGGAAGACTTTCGTCAGGTCTCGTCCATCATTGACGTCGATATCGTTCCCGAGACGTGTCGACGCGTAAGACTTGTCAAACACGGATCCGATAAACCGCTGGGCTTTTACATCCGCGACGGAACGTCCGTTCGGGTGACGCCTCACGGCCTCGAGAAAGTGGCCGGAATTTTCATATCACGTCTCGTTCCGGGAGGACTCGCAGAGAGTACTGGCCTTTTGGCCGTCAACGATGAGGTGCTGGAAGTGAATGGCATCGAAGTGTTGAGCAAATCATTAGATCAGGTGACAGACATGATGGTCGCCAACTCTTCGAACCTCATCATTACTATCCGTCCGGCGAACCAACGAAACCTTCCCATCGCTGCGATGCGGGGCTCGTATTGTCGTTCATCGCAGTTATCTCAGGACTCGAGCCATAACTCGGCCTTAAGTGCGTCCGACGACGAAGAGGACGAGATTAAGGACTATGGAGTGACTACTCCTGCGCTCAATACCACCAATACGTCCAATACTTCTAATAATAATATTATTAACAATAATAATACGACTAATAATGGAAAAAGTGATTTAATTAACGACAACGATATCGTCACTCTCTGAACCACTGGTGTCTTCTCATCGCGAATCCAAATGCAATCAATCAATGCTCCAAAACCTTGTTTTATGTTTATTTCACAAAATTATTATCAAATTTCATATTTACTTTTAACGCATGAATTTATAAATATATTTGGATTAAATTATTCCCACATTTAGTGATCAATTAATTACTTTTTTTGGAAATTATATTTTTATTTAACTCTTTTAATTATACTTTTTATAAAAAACAAAACTAAATGACAAATTTTTATTTACACTTAAATTTGATTATAACTCACAATAATTTATGTTAAGAATATATATGTAATCCTTCCATATATTATGTCTATTAAAAGTTCCTCTTTTTATATTTTATATTATAATTGAAATTAATTAGTGTTTAAAACAAAAACTAAAT